AAGAGATTTCGGTCGACCTTCTAGGGGCTCGTCATCTACGGAAAAATGTTCAGTCTTGTCCAGTCTGTTATCTGCGGAACCACTTAGAAATAGTCTTTAAAGACGGTGCAATCGTTCCATTGAATATTTGTGTTGGCTGTAAATTACGCCGAAACCCGAAGAGTATCACATGGCAAATATCTGTTTGCGTTGGGGTGGAATTTCGTCTGACCTATTCTCAGCGATCTTGCGTTTTCTCATCTCCATTTCAGCTCATCGGTCCAAAATTTGAACGGAGGACTAATAAAGTAATTGGTATTTTTAGATTTAACAAAAACAAATTGAGAGTCAACAAATAACCGAACTTTTGTTAATCCCCTTGTAGGCTTAATGATATAGGTTTCATGGAATTAGTTTCAAAATTTCCTGCATTTCTCTGAAGAAGCATTTTTTCTAATGAGTCCATGGCGTTCGGGGCACCGCGGAGGATACTTTAAAAGCTACTGAATTTACAGAAACTGACTATTCACCCTACAGTCAGCAACTGGCTCTCAGTGACTTTTTAATTTTTTCAAGTGGACGAAGATTTTCAGACGGCAGTGAGATGAAAGCTGCCATAGAAAACGATTTTGAAGATAAATCTAAAGTATATTTTTTCAGTGGTATATAGTAAAGGCAGTGTATTTACGATGTAAAAAGTATATTTCACATCAGGGAGACATACATTGTTTTCTTAAGGCCAGGTTGCTCTAAAAAAATTTCAAAAAATCAAAAATTTTATTCCTGTAAATTGTTAGAAAATACTCTTAAAAATAGTATAGAATTAGACCCGAAGGTCCACAGGACAATAAGAAAATATAAATCGTGCCACTCATCAACAAGAGGGACGTGTTTCAGCAGCAATTTTAAGAGCTGTTCTTTAAAATAAAAATATTTTTTCTTAATTTATAATTTTTACGTCCACTTATCTACAAAAACTTTCATTTATAAATATTTTTTTAGAAACATAAAATTTGTTCGGAAAAACAAGTTTTTTGTAGGAACCTGTATTCAAGTACTTTAGGTCGCGAAAAAGCCGGCCAGTATTACTTGGCTCTCTCGGGCCAGCTCGAGCTCTTGTGCTCGACTTTCCATATTGAAAAGTGTAGCCGAGGATTTCGCCTGTCATTCCAATATTCCTGGCTGTTGTTGGAAGTTGTGCAGCAGACTGAGTAGGAAAAAAATAAGAAATAAAATAAATAAGTTACCCAGTAGGTAGGTTCCTACTCACCAGCTTTCTGACGGACTGGGGCTATTGAATCACTCTCAAAAATCGAAAAAAACCAAGCATTTGTTTATAGTTTTTATTTTTATTTTTATTTTTATTCAATTTAATTCTTTTCTTCACATTTCAATTAATTGCATTAAATACGAATGTATGTATGTATATGCATTTAAATAGGTATGCTTAATTTAGGTATGTTTTCTTTTCTGTTTGTTGTTGTCATTAAAGCGCTTTAAACGCAGTTTAGAGTTTTTTCTTCTTTTCTTTCATTTAATACAATTCTCTTATTCAATTTCGTTCATACAATATATTTCATTATGATGTTTTTTTTTTTTTTGTATAATATATATGTATATATAATAATATATTATATTTATACGCGTACATGTGTATGTGGGTGAGATAGATAAATGTAAATTTCTTGCATTCTTTCGTTTCATTAAAAAATCTTGGAATCATACTTGCACATACATACATATGTATATATAATATGTATGTATTATTCTCACTTTACCTGCGACTTAAGTGCGTACGCTTAGTTATCATTAAACGCGCCTGCTTCTTTCTACTTTCATTAAATTACAATTTTTATTTAATATTAATATTTATATTATTAATTATAAAAAAATATTGGTATTTCATAGATCATAATTAAAATTATTAATAATTTCGCTTTCTTTTATTTTACACATCGTTTTTGTATACACATTATTCATTAATTAGTTCGTCTTAGTTTAAACTCAAAACTGCTTCATGCGAAATTAAAAAAAAATGTATTTATTATAAAATAATATTTAATTTATATACGCTTCGCGACGCATGCGTATCGAAAAAGAAAACACGTTTATATGCAAATACGCTAATTATTGTTGTAAAAAAGCATATGTACTTAACTTAAATGCTAATTAAACTTAAATACATACAGACTTACTTACATACATTTCATATATAGTAAAAATTATTGTAAATTATACGTTTTCTATACAATTTTACACAGTTGAAGTTATTTCTTTTTTTTTAACAATTTTTCTTCTTATTTTTATTTTGGGCTCTTGATGGGAGGGCATTTTTTGCTATAAATATATATATGTATTTATTTGAATATACATTACAGTTATTATGAGCTTTAGCATGTGTATAGTTATGTTACATACATACATACAATTGTGTTTTGACTTGTAGTTTGTAGTTTTAATAATTTTTTATATTTTTTATGTATTTTATTTATTTATTTATATTAAGATTTTTCATTTTTCACCTTAATTTTTTTTTAATTTAATTTGTTTAATGTAACACTGCAGTTGATTGGTCTATCGATTTATTTGTTTGCTAATTGTATTTTCTGCTAAATTAAAGTACATGTAATGTAATGTAGCATAGTGTGCTTAACAAATAAATAAAGCGCATTTTAATTAGCTTGATAGCGATATGAGAACTAACTAAATTTTGTAATTGTTATAATTAACAATGAACTTTAACTTTAACTATATATATGCATCTGTTGTTTGTTGGATTGAGTTATGCTTTTGTTTCTATTAAAGTTTTCATGATATTCAGTTTTATGTTGTGTTATGATAAATATTTTTTTTTATTTTTTATTTTACAACATATTTTTTTTACTCTATAATTATTCATATATACTCTTTGCTTAGCTTTTTTAAATAGTTTCAAAAAAATAAGGCGCAAATTAAATGCTACTTTATTTTATTTATAATTAATTTATAAAATTTAGCTTACTTAATTTTTAATGAAACTGTACAAAAGCTTATTGTATGCAGTAGACACTGCATTATCTGGCGTGAAAAATTAGAAAAAATTAGATTACAATTCTAAGGTTAGTAAACTTATGGAAAAATAACATGAAATATAAAAAAAAATATAATTAAATATATAAGAAAATTTTTCAGAACGTATAATGCGCAGAGTATAAAAAATTAACAAAAAATAAAAGAAAAAAAATAAATTAAGAGCTAAAGAAATGAAAATAAGAAATATAACTAAAATTTATGTTTCGATTTGCTAAAATATAAAAAAGGCAGGAAAACAAAAACAGAAAAATATAAATTAAAAATATTCCAAATGAAAATTTAAAAAAAAGCAATAAATAATAAATCATATTCTTTTTTGATTATAATAGATATAAGAAACTGTAAATGAAAAAAGATTAAAAACTAAAATAATGTAAAAAAAAAGAAAAAATAAAAATAAAAACAGAGAAAAAATATAAAATATAAGTATTTATAATAAAAAATAATAAGACTTAAAACATACATCAGAAAAGCTAATTAAACTAATAAAAAAAAAAAACTAAAACAAAATTTATGAAATAAATATTTAATGAAGAAAAAAAAGATTAAAAATTTAAGATACAATAAAAAATATAAAAACTTAGAAGCATAAAAGAATAAAATTCAAACCAAACATAAGAAAACAACTAAATGAAGATTAGTAAAAATAAAATAGAAACAAAAATTATAATAATAAATTATAAAATAAAGAACTGAAAATTGTTAAACAAAAATAGAAATAAAAAAATAATTAATGTTTTTCTTATTCTTCAAATTCTTAACTTTGTATTATTTATTTTTTGTATTTTAATTGTTTTTTTTTATTTATCTTTTTATTTTTTATTATTAATTTTTTAAATTTTTTTTATTATTAATTTCTTATATTCTTCTTATTATTAATTATTTATATTTTTCTTATTATTAATTTTTTATATTTTTCTTATTATTAATTTTTTCTATTTTTATTATTCATTTTTTATTTTTATTATTTAATTTTATTTGATTATTATTTATTTAATTTTTATTTATTTTTTTATTTTTTTTTTTTAATTTTTATTATTTTTTTATTTTTCCTGTTTATTTTTTATATTTTTATTACTAATTTTTTTAATTTTATTATTTATTTTTGTTTTATTTCTATTATTATTATTTTATTTTAATTATTTTTTTTTCATATTTTTTTTATTATCTTATTTTTAATTTTTTATATTTTTCTTATTTGTTTTTTATATATTTATTATTTTTTTATTCTCTAAATTTTTATTATTTATTTTGATTTCTTTATTATTTTTTTAAATTATTACTATTTTTTGTTGTTATTTTTACTATTATTTTTTTATTTTTATTATTTATTTTTTTTTTATTTATATTTTTTTATTTTTATTATTTATTTTTTTTTTTATTTTTATTATTTATTTTTTTTTATTTTAATTATATAATTTTCATATTCAAAGTCTGAAAATCAAAATTAAATAAAATACATTTAAAGAAATATTTGTAATATTTACAACACGAAGGTTAAGAATAGAAAAAATGACTAAGATAAAGCTATGAAAATCGGGAATAATTTTTTTGCACTGGAATTAACTCATAAAAGTTAAAAATAGAAAAAAAAATATTAAAAAATTAATTTAAAATTTTAAGAAAATTAAATTTTTTTCTGCTCTGCGCATTATGTTATATAAATTTTCAGTTACTTTATTAAGATACTTTTTTACACTTTTTCAATATGGCTGCGGAGGAGTTAATTTTTGTTTCAATAATTTAGTTTTTTTTTACTTGTTAATAATTAATTGTTGGCATATATAGTTTATATGTTTGTCTGAATGTCAATATTGTTAGTATTTCGCATTTCAAATTTATGTACATATGTATTTCTGTCACATACGACATATGTAAGCAGTAGTTATATATGTATTTCAATTTCATGTATGTGTGTATTAAAATATGCATTTAGATATATGTATGTATTTTTTTTTGTATGATTGTGTCGCTGGTGCAATTTTTAGAACTTTGTTTGCTATTGTTTTTGTTTTTTTTTTTTAATGAAAATATGAGTATCAATAGTGTGCTTTTGTATGGTAAGTGCAATAGTTTTGAGGAAGAGGATTAGTTTTGTTTTTGTTGTGCGTAATATTTAATATTTTTATATAAATGACTCAATAGTGTTTGTGAAATTTGAAAAAAAAACTACTTTTTTGTACATTTACTGCACTTTTTTTCTAATTTTTTGTATATTTTTCACTCTTTTCCATCCATACAATAATAAAATAGTTGTACAACTATCTCTGCAAATCACTTACATCATTTTTGAATTCCTTTATAAATGTATATAGAAACAGTGCTAAAATTTCAATACATAAAATGAAAAGCAATTCACAATACTTTTTTTAATTAATTGTTTACAAAAATCGTTAGAGGCTTGCGGCAGGCAAACGAGTTCAATGCACTTGAAGAAAGGCAGTAAATAATATCTGGATTAATATAGATTAGTAGTCGAATGGCGCACACACACATACATACATACATTTATATAAATTATGATAATTAAACAACACTACTGTTTTGTTGTTGCTTTTTTTCGTAATAGTCAATAGTTGTCGGCGTGCTTGAAGAACTGCTACTCGGCTCAGCACTTTCAACCACAATGTTGTTTTTATAAATGAATGCCATGCTTTCAACCAAATGTATATACGGCCTACATAAATAGTAATTGATTGTTGTTGTTTTATGTTTTCGTATGCACACGCACACACACAGTTATGAGTTATAAGTTGATGATGAGCATACGGAAGTTAAGTTTAGTAAGTAACTTGTTTTTTTTTTGTAACAGAAGCATTTACAATAGTATGATGATATTATAAAGAGAAAAAAAAAAACAACAATAATAATAATTTGCAAAAAATTAAATTGAAGAAATCAAAAGTAAATGCAAAGTTAAAGTTCGAAATTTCAATATTATGTAAAAACAAACTAACTAAAGCAATTTCTGTTGTTTTTTTTTGTTAAGCTTAAATTAAGGCAAATTAATTAGTTATTAATAAACTAATTAAAAGTTAATAATAATGGGTATGTTTAAACAACAAATTACATATAAAATTGACTTATGCATACAGTGTACATTCAATATAACTAGTCGGCACAAATCCTTCATCCCAGCCATTGGTGCCATTAGCACGACGCACACGCGTCCAGCCATCGCCCTGATCGATTTCAATGACTTGCAGTTCTTCGCCCTCATTCATTGGTATGCTGCCCTCGCTGGTCGCTGTAAGAAGAATTTAAGTACTTTAATATCTAGATGTATGTACATATATAAAGAATATGTAGAAGTATAATTAATTTTTATATTAAATAATATTAAATTTATATTCAGTACATTTCCCCAATTCAACTTCGTTTACGATATTTGAAATTATTAATACTTTTAGTTTATTTTATTTTTTACAAACTAAATTTTTTGTATATTGTTTTACTTAATTTCAATTTAATCTATTATTTTTAATCACATTTATTATTTTAACATAGTTTATCTTATTTTATTTTAATTTTTTTTAGTTTTTTGTTTAAATTTATTTTCTTATTTTAAGTTAATTTTATATTTATTATTCTATTTCACTTTAAAATATTTAACTCTATCTTATTTTGCTTTATTTTATTTTATTTTATTTTATTTTATTTTATTTTATTTTATTTTATTTTATTTTATTTTATTTTATTTTATTTTATTTTATTTTACTCTTTATTTTATATTATCACTAACCTTCGAAGGGATAGAGCGCTCGACATGTACCCAATGGCTGCAGCACTTCAATTTCAGTATCATCATAACCATCTTCACCGATGGCATTCTCATTTGCACTACCCTGTCCTGAACCCGGCAGTGAGGTGTGCGATGTACCCAATCCACTTTCGGGACTAGCCGAACTGCTGATTTTGTAGCCGCCGCATGGAAAAGAGGAAATTTGTGTAGCAATTCGTATATGAATTGGTTTGTTTGTTTGATTGATTGATTGATTGATTGGATTTGACGCAGCAATATAATAAGCGCAATGAAGTGCCAAGATATATGTTTTGAAATAAAAGAAAACATAATGAAACGAAAATTTCGTTTGAAATTTAGGATTTATGTATGTATGTATGAATATTGTTAAAATCAAATATTAAACATAATTTGAACGTTTTTTTTTTTTATTTTGGAAAATGTGGCAATTTGGGTTAATTTGAGTACCAAAAGTAAGCGTATAATTACAAAAATGTGCAATTTTGGTGAAAATAAATATAAATATATAAATATTATATAGAAATGTACATATTTAGAGAGTGTAAATAGTGAGAGTGGTTGTGAAGTGATACAGTATATGAATTCGTGTTATTTGCGATTTAATGAATTTGATGGAATTACAATATTTTTTTTTTCAAAATTTATAATGAGTAAAAATAATGTTAATATGTGCCATATAAACATGTATGTATGTAAGATAGGTGTTCAGGATGGACAGGCCGAAGCAATGTGTATTTACAGAAATCTTATTTGTGTATAACCAAACTCGCTAAGAAGCGTTGAATAAAAAGAGTGCGATTAAAGTGTGCTGTCGTCAATTATTTTTCATTTAATTTATAAACAGAAGTTCTACGGCGTAAGTACGTTGCACTGCTATAAATAACCCACAACGAAAGTAATATACCAGTAATTTTTATTAATTCAAGTATCTAACTCTAACTCAGCTGTCACTCTCCAATTCTAAGCGCTGAGGTGAAATAGAAATCATTTTTAAATCAAAACTTCTAAAATATCATTTTTTGTTGGCCTTAGCAAAGAAGTACTGTTAGTTATAATCTATCTAAAGGTCGTCCAAAATGTAGTAACCCCAGGCGTAAAAGGAAAATTAAATGTTGCGTCTCGTGTATCAAGGTTCTCCTGACCCTTTTTAAACTGCTAAAAACGTTTGATTAATCTGATCTTTTTGTTTATATTAAAAGCACCTCAGTAGTTTATGTATGTTCGAATTGTTGAGTTGTGTCATCTATGGTGTTTTGGTGCAAAAGCAAAGGAAATGTGGAAGGTTGGGAAACCGTTGGCAATAATAATATTTAATAAAAATTATAATAGTAACAATAAAAGTAGGCTTAAGATTTGACAAAAAAAAAGTTGAAATAAACTTGTGTTTTTTAAATATAACTTATTTGGAGGCTTTTGAATGAGCCATTACAAATGAAGATGGTTGAAGATTGTTTTTAATTTTTTCAATAGTAATATCGTTAAGGAAATAAATCAATAGTTTTTTATAAAAATGTCAAAAACTTTCAATCAACGGAGAAAAGTGTTGACTTTTTTTTTATCTATGAATACATTTTATTTTCGAAAATATCCAATATTGATTTAAAAATGTTTGAACGATATCTAAAAAATTGGAATAAATAATCACATCTGGTTTATAAAGGTTTTAAAAAATATTTTTCGATCTCATTTAACTCTTTTTTTCGATTTTATATCTTCGCCCAAAAGTGATGCTCATTTTTGAGCTTCTATTTGTACAGGCAAAAATTATTTTAATAAGGTTTAAGGGTTACATTTAGTTAGAATTAAAACCAAACATATTTTTTTTTTAATTTCATTTTCACAATGTACATGTATTCAAGTGAATACTCTGAAATTTTCAAGTCGAACTGACTGTTATTTTAAAAGTTACACACATATCTGTAACGGCGCGAATCGGAACGTGTTGTGGTTTTCAGATTTCTCGAGAACGGCTTAACCGATTCGTCTCAAATTGATACAAGGTCGTCTGAAAAACATTTTCTAGTACTTAATTGAATCTTTTCCATTACCGTTGAAAATTTTTTTGCGCAATTCAAGACCAAAATTATGTAGAAAAATTGAATATTATTTTTTAGGAATCCGTCGTTTTGTCTAAAAAAAAAAATTTTTATATATTTCTTCGATTAATGACAATATTATACTTTCGAAACCCAAAATGAATAGCACACCCTCTAAATTTGAGCAATGATTTTGGAAATTTTCAACTAAACATACTCAAAAATCCGTCATTTTGAGGATACAACAGGCAATTCCTAAATAAAAAGGTATGGCTGTGGACAATGCTTTTTGCGAAATAAATTAAAATTGTGCTAAAATTTGCACAATATTACTTTTTCAATAGAGAGAAAATATTTTGTCGTCCAATTTCTTGTGAATTGTATGTCGACACCTCTATAAAATTTCACTCAGACTGAGAAGTTTTCGAAAATTTTTGACAATCGACTTTGAAAACACAAATTTGAGAAATAAGTTTGAGCGTACACCACGCCAAGGCTGTATCTCCAAAAATTTTATTCGGACCGACTTGATAAATTAGTATAATATTGTTTTTCGAAAAGTAGTAGAAAATAAAGACAATAAAAAAAATTCGATTCTTTGAGGCTTTGAATCAACACCCCTGTTAAATTTGCACCTTTTTCCCAACTTCATTTATAACAGCTCGTTTAATTATGTTTTAGTAACAAGTACTTAATTAAAATGAGAAAAAAAAATGTGGAAAATGTGTAAAAGCAAATTTTGTACAAGGAAATTATTTATTGTGTGGACATTGAGTGATAATGGGCAAATGAAAAATGGAACTAAGAAATATTGTATTGTAAAATATTTAGCTATGTGAATAGGTTTATATGTATAAATGACAAGTGACAAGTGACAAATTGACAAAGTGACATGAATGAGACAAAATGCTATAAATGCTAGCTTTTCAACATAGACTTATGAGTGTACCCGTTATTGTTATTATTATGCCCATTTTGTATTTGCGCCACATTATCCTCAGAACCTGACCTGCTTAAGCTGCCACCATCATCTGGATGATCTTCACCATCATCATTGTGATCTTCGGCACTGCCATTGGAATGTCTGCAAGACGATAAGCAGTTAATATAATATTTGTAGATTTTTTTTTTTTTTTTTTTTTTTTTTTTTTTTTTTTTTTTTTTTTTTTTTGTTGGCAGTATGCAAAATCAGCAAGGAAAATATGCACATATTAAATGAATTTATAGAAAGTGCACAATATATAAAATTGCCACCTACCTTGATGTTCGGTGACCGTTTTGTATGTGATTACGACTCGCTTGCGGACTATTACTGGCCAACGGCATTTGATTCGCGCTCTCCAAATAGCCCTGGAACTTTTTCAAATCCATACGCAATTTTTCCATTTTGTGCTCGGACTCATTCAGTTGTCCTTCGACTGTCATCGGATTGCCCAACGATGAATTCGATTCATAAACCATTTTCATTTTCATTAAACCATCACGTGTGGCTATCTCTTGATTGAGTTTATGTTGTAGTTCCGCAATTTTAGCTTGGAGCTTTTTACGCCTTTGACTGGGTGGTAAATCGCTGAAGTCTTCCTTTTGTCCGTCCGCCGTTAGTGAATTCTAAATATGCATACACAAATATATGTGGTGGAAAATGAGGTGAACGATAAGAAAAACAAAATTAAAATTATGTTAAAAGGTTTGGAATAAATAAACAAACATACATATATGTATATATATACTATTGCTATATGACTGTTTTTGCCACTCAACAAAAAACTGGTAAGTGCGTTTGGATTATATTAAGAACAATAATTGTATGTATTGTTGTCATTGTAACATGTGGTTGAACAGAAACATTTAAGCATGAGAAAAAGGCGAACACTAAACAACAGAATTTCAAAATTAAAAATTAAAAAAAAATCCGTAAATAAAAGGGTAAGTTTTTCGTGACATCACTGGTGCGGTTGATAAGCAATGATGATGATGAACTCTAAGTTGATTTGTTGTTAAAATTTATAAGTATTTTACTTCAACTATTTTTTTTTTTTTTTTTTTACTTATTATCTCAGCGGTTACACATGCAAAGAAACAAGTGCCTGAAACTTTTGTGCGTTTGTTCACAAATGTTGCTAAGCTACGGTGAGTGAAGTACAAAATGCTAAGAAATATGTATTAAGACCGGCAAAAACAAAGACTTAAGCTTTCAAAAAATAACACGAACGTTCGCACTAAAAGCTAATTTGTGAGCTTCTCCCTTAAACTTTGAAGGAAAGCTATTTTTGCGAGCTTTCCCTTAAATTTTGAGGGAAAGATATTTTTGTGAGCTTTCACTGCAAACTTTTAAGGAAAGCTATTTTTTGTAAAATTTCCCTGCAAACTTAAAAAAAATTAATTTTTTTGAAAACTTTCACTGCAAACTTTTATGGAAAGCAATCAGTTTTGAAAGCTTTCACTCTTAACATTTAAGGAAAGCAATAATTTTTGTAAACTCTCGGATTGAGCTTCTACCAAAAGCTTTCGTTGTGCAAGCTTTCACTGTAAAATTTTTAGTAAAAGCTCGCAAAAACGGCTTCATCTGTGAACTTTTAAACTTAAAGCTGATATTAAATAAATTAACTAGAAATTTTCATAAAAATCTCTAAGATTCAATATTTTTGAAACGCTAAAAGCTATATGATTTTTTTCTTTTTGGTTTTTTTTTTTTTTGGTTTTTTTCTTAGTATAAATGTGCTGGTGAGTGAAAGTTTGTGCGAGTGTTGAGTGTTAAAAAGTGTTAGATCTAGATTAATAAAATAACAAAGGAACAGAGGTAAAGTGTAGACAAAATTAGAGTAAAAAACAACCACTTTTTCTTATAAAAATTTGTTTCTTTTACTTATTATTTTTTTTTACAGAGGTTAGTTATTAGCTGGATAAATTGGAAAACGTTTAATAGTGGTGAGAGTGAAATATTATTTGCTATATATTAGATATTTATTTAGTACTAGTTGCTGGTAGTTAGAGAGAAAGAAAAGCAGCGAAAAATTCATTCATACCTTCATGGTGATACAGGCTTCATAAATCTTCTGTGGCTATTGACAGATAATTTTTTGAAAATGTATCACATTGTTTTGTTTTTTAGTTTTTTTTTTTAATTGTTTTCATTTGTTGTTTTTTAGTTATTTTTAATGATTTTCAGTAGTTTTTTTTTTTTTTTTTTTGAGGTGATTTAGTAAGAAATTAGCGTAAGCATTACGTCGTGGTGGCGAGTGAAGTTTCATTACGCATGTGGTTGTAGTTGTAGTAGTTGTTGTTTTTGTTGTATTGTGTTTGTAGTAATAGTTGATAAAGTGTAAAAAATGTGTAGGATCAAATTTTGTGTATAGTAAATAAAAAAGAAATATTAATTTTGTTGCGAAAACATTTTTATTATTATTATTTTGTTTTTTTTTTTTTTTTTTTTTTTTTGAGAATTTTTGTTGCATACAATTATACAGTTTTGCGAAATGTATAAATGAAAAATGAAAACAAAACAAAAACAGTAATAAAAGCCACATTCAACAAAAGCATGGAGTTGAAACAATACAAGTGTAGGTTAAGAAGAGAGAGGGGAAAGAAAAAATTTATATAATAGTGAATATCGAAATGCTTATGATATATGTAAAATATACACACATACATTTGTTATATTTAATATGAACCGTAAAATGATAAGACAAAATATAACGCTCCTATAAATATGCAAGGCTTTTTGAATGAGGATTTTTTTTTTAATTTAAGAGACGACTCTAGAGGTGCATATATACATATATATATATATACATTTTTTGAGGTTACCAAAATAATTGTACTCTTTATTTCTCAGGAATTTCATTCATACCAGAGTATGCACTTTGAGTGGTATTTAAATAAAAATAATAAATAAGTGGCTCAATGCTTTGGGATTTTCTAGAATCTGAATTTTGATTTAGAAATGATGGTTTTTTTTTAATTTCTTATTAAGCTTATTTAAACTGTAGGCCTGTTTATATTGTAGGGAATTAAATTAAGTTCCATAATACCTAACTACTTTTTTTACATTGTACGACATGTATGGTTGACCGAAAATTAATTATTCCTTTTTTTAACTACAATATATTCTATTGTGCAAACCTGATGGAAAGTGAAGGTTTTTACCAACAAATGATTTCAATTCTATTATTCTAGGAAGAGTTTGTAAAGAGGTGTGAGGTTTGGAGTTATCATGATGTACATGATGACGTACAGTTTAGGGCACTTTTTCTGGATTTGTCAGTTGAATTTCTATAGTTGACAACATGTTTTTCCCCCGTTTGCAATTTTACCACTTCGAAACAAGTAAATGAAGCCACGCATTATAAAAATTACACGAAGATGGGGAGAGAACATTACACTGCGGAATCTACTGCGTAATTGAAAAGAGTTTTGAAGTTGATTTTTTTAGTTACGACGCCCAAGCTTTCACTGAAGGTAGTCTACACTCTAATATTTGAGCCATGTTTAATAAACATTAATTAACAATGTTATTTAAAAAGGATGATCATACTATTTTCGTGGTACTACTTTGAATTTTGTGTTTATCAAAAAAGATTAAACAAATAAAAATATATGAATAAAAAAAATTCAATAAATAAAAAAATAAAAAAAATAAAAAAAATAAAAAAAATAAAAAATAAAAAAATATAAATAAATAAAGAACATAAAAATGAAAAATTTTATATCAAAATAAAACCCTTTAATTCAAAAATGTAAATTATAAATGAAAAATGTATAAAAAAAATACTAAGAGATTTAAAATATTTATAATAATAAAAAAATATTTGTTTTACCTTTATAAAGATAAAACAACTTAATAAAAAAAAAATTTATAAAAATAAGGAAATATAATATATTTAAAAAAAATAAAATAAAATATAAAAAAGTTAAAAAATAATAAAATGAAATAAAAAAATGAAAATAAATATAAAAAATAGAAAATTTCAAAAAATTAAATAAAATGGAAAAATAAAAAAATATATAAAAAATTCAAAAATAATAATGATGAATAAAAAATTTAGTTAAAATTTAATTAAAAAAAATTAAAAATTTAAAAAAGAAAATAAATAAAAAACTAAAAAAGAAATAAAATAAAAATATTTAAGAAATAAAACAAAAAGTTTAAAGTAAGTAAAAGAAAGAAATAATTTAAAATTAATTTAAAAAAAAAATAATTAAATTAAAAAAAAATTAAAAAGTTAAAAAAGTTTACAAAAAATAAATAAGTTAAAATAAAAAATTTTAAATGAAAAAAATATAAAAAAAACGAAGTAATACAACTTTTTTAAAATGTATAAATATAATTAAAATTGGTTTTCAAACAAATGAAAAGTAAATATCACTTAAATTACATAAATTTGGCATAAATTATATAATGTTTATGCTTTTAAAAAAATAGCGGTAACAACCAGGAGCAAAAAATACTGGTTTTAAAATTTGTTTAGAGTTTGGCGTTATAAATACGAACAAGGCAAAAACAAATGAAACAAATAAAAACAACAAATAAATTGATTATTAACAAAATAGTGTAAAAAGAACAACACGAAACAAAATTTAACAACAGTTAGTTAAATCAATATGACAACTGTGTTGAGATTTTGCACACCAATAAGAAATGCCAATACGAGTACGTACATACATAAGTGCTCAGCAGGATATGTTGAAAAAAAAAAATATATCAATATTATTTCTACGGAAGCCGTTTTCGTTTCTCAAGAAAATGTTGCCCTTTTTGGTTTTGTCCTTTATTCCTCCGTTGTGCACATGAGTGCGTACTAATTTGTTAATAATTTACCGATACCAAACCAAAGTGCAACATCCTCGATTATTATAGTATTTTCTATGTACGGTGGAGTATTTAAATTTTAAATAAGCAGCAAAAAATTGTCTTCACGGGAAATGAAAACTCCAACGTAATGAAATTTTAAAAATACTTTAATACAATAAATCAACATATCTCGCTATATTTTTCACTATGCACATCTTTTTAGTGACAAATCTACACAGAAAACATGTACACATGACATTTGAACGTACTGTACCTACGTCACTTGGTACTTACATTCATTTGTTTTTGTAAACATACGATTCGTGCGAAAGCACACACACATATATATAACATGTTTTTATCCAATTGATTATCGTTGTTGTTGTTATAATATATATAAATTTATATATTATATATATATATATATATATATATTATTTTTTTGATTGCAGCGTATGAATTTTTTTTCACCCGAAGCGTATCCCATAATCCAATAGGTAACCAATACAAACAATAAAAATGAGAAGAAATAGAGATAAAATACATAATGAGATACATAAACATATAAATGAGGGAAAGCATAATAATCAACCAAAGCTTTATGAATTCATAAACTTAAGTGCAAATAATATTAATAAAAGTATTAAACTGTGTGTAAAGTTAGAATGTATGTAGCAAGTTAGGGCGCTAAATTTGTTAAATAAATACCAGGAAGTTAAATAATAAATAAAAGACAGTGGCATAAAATTATTTTACAAATGTAATGAAAATATATGGACTGGGTTGGGAGGCTATATATTTATTTGGAAAGAAGACAAACGGAGAAGCACTATGCGAGCTTGAGCGAAATAGATGATTTTGTGGGTAAAATGAGGGAAAAGGAACCGGCTCAGAAGGGTAAAAAAAAAATATTATATTATTTGTTCATTTAAATAATCTAATAATTCTAACTGGAGTGGAATTGTAACTCTCTTACGCTGTGTGCTAACAAAAGAAGAGTAAATAAAGAATAGCAAAACCTTTGCAAATCTAGAGAGTTAATGAAGGATAATATTGAAAATCAAATTACGAAATAAAATCCTTTTATAGCGTTCCGCAATTCATTATTTATATTTGTCAGGAATTTAAACTAATTTTATCTGCTCATATGAACAGTTTACTAGGAGCAGGGCAGCATCTACTAATCTTCACAGAGAAATCATGTCAATTCGATTTAAAATGAATTTTTTAAAACTCTTTATTTACATTAAGAAACTTTAAGGGTGCCTAACAATTAAGATTTTCTGCTCCTTAAAAAGCCGTTTTGTTTTATTTTACGTCTGGGAATAATTTACAGCACAACAGAACATATAAGAAACGTAAACAACACAAAACATACAAATACTCACTTAGTAATTTGAAATATCAAAGAAAAAAAATAAAATAGAATATAAAATTATGGCTGTTGATCCCTCGAAAGAAAATATATTTATATAAAATCCCGAACTCTACTTTCTTTGCGTGAATTCAAAAAAAAAACTAATCATAAACAGTAGAAAACTTCATAGTATCGAAATTTCCCAACTACAACCTACAGACACACATACACACTTACCTTATTGCTGCCGAAGAAGCTAAAGATCGCTGGGCGTCGCTTAACTCCTTTGCTAATGGTGCCCTTAACGGTAAAATGACTTGAAAGCACACGGGAATCCATTGGTGAATCAGGATTTTGTTTTGACAAATCATCGAACGGTATGTCAGTTGGCGGTGTAAAGCCCGATTGATATCTGTAAGTGTACGTATAAGTAGTCGGTATTAGAAGACATTTTCAATAGCTAACATTATATAATATAATGAGATAATAGTAACCTTTCTATAACTTTGAAAGAGTCCTCCTTTTCGTTTATTGACTCGCCCGCCTTAACGATGCCCTCCATACATCGTGCAATTATGGGCGCCACAGCTGATTCCACTTCGGCAGTGCCGATTATGAATTCACGTATGCCACCTGTACGTTTCTCATCCAGCTCTTGTAGGCGATTGAAGACCTAAAATTAATGAATATTTAAGATTAAAAAAATATACTCTTATTATTTAAAATTTATGCTATTACTAAATTTCCTCTTACCGTTGGCAACGCCACACTATAATGTTGTCTCTGTAAGTTGTTAGTTTTCTGCAATTGATTGGCATATTCATTTTTCGCATCGTCCGATTGTTGTATTTTCGATGTCATTATATTCTTGTAACGTTCCACTTCGGCTCGACTCAGATTCAGATCCATATCGGCCTTCTTATGATTCTCCACAGCTTTTTCCGACTCGCGGAAGGCTTTCTCATAGTTGCGTTTGGCGCGATCGAGTGCGCCCAATTGTGCGGTGAGTGTCTGTTGTAGTGATGTGCCTTCATTTAGACAGCGCTGTGGGGTGGGCGGAGAAATAAATGAAGTGATTTGAAATATATTTATATATCATACTCTTGATTCTATCTCAAACTTACCTTTCGCTCTTCTCGTAACGCTCTGGAGAGCACCTGTATGCCTTGCACGATGCGTTGCTCCAGTGATTCCGCTACAACTTCCCGTTGACCCGCTAAGTCGTTGACTTCTTTTAAGACATTGCGAAAAGCTTGGCAGGATGAAAATCTGTGGAGGAAAAGAAAAAAATTGTTGGCAATAAATTTATAAACTATTATTAAAAAATATATGCATGCGCCCAAAAATTATTAAATGCAATAAGTTATTTGTAGAAAAAAAAAAAAAATAAAATTAAAATTAAAATTAAAAAAGATGGCAAAGCAAGATTAAATGGAATACAACAAAAATAAAGTAAAATAAAATATAATAAAATAAATAAAAAATAAAATATAATATATAAAATAAATTAAAATAAAATTAAAAAAATAAAATATAATAAAAACATAAAACTAAACTAAATTAAATTAAACCAAACTAAGTTAACTCAACTTAAATTTAATTTTAACAAAATTAAAATATAATGGACAACATTAATGCAAAAATAAATTAAAATAAAATAAACTACAATATTATAAAATACAATTTAATTTTCATTGGTTTTTTAAAGAGAACTAAACACGACTTAATATGAAATAAAAAAAAAGAAATAAAAAAGTAAACTTATTTAAATTAAACCAAAGGAAAAATAATATAATAAATTGAGTTAACAATTTCATTAAAAAACAATAAATTACCCGGTTGGTTAAATTAAATTAATCGAAATAAAATCAAAAAAGTTAAATGAAAATAAATTCGAATAGAAGAATTAAAAATAAAAAATAAATTAAACACCACCTAAAAAATTAGATTAAAATCAAATAAAATAAAAAAAAATAAATAAAAATAATAAAAAAAAATTAAATTTAATTGAAAGAAAATAAAAAGGATAATAAAAATAAAATCAAATCTATTAAAAAATAATAATAATAATAATAAATATTAATAATAATAATAAAAATAATAAAATAAAAAATAATAAAACGAAAAATAAATTAAACGAAAATAGAACGGAAAAAATAAAACAAAACTAGACAAAAAAAGATATTAACATAATATAAGAAAATATAAAATAAAAGCTAAAATCAGATAAAAATGTAGTAAAAACAGTTAAATAAAATAAAATAAAACAAAACAAAATAAAATGAAATAAAATAAAACAAAACAAAATAAAATGAAATAGAATAAATTAAATGAAATATAATAAATTATTAACATTATAATAATTTATTAAAATATAAAAGATAAAACTAAATATAATAAAAGGTGGTAAATAAAGTAACTAATATAAATAAAAAAAATACAAAAGAAAAAAATTTAATAAAATAAAATTGAACTTTTAAAACAAAATAAAAGAAAAACAAAAAAAAAACATACCATAAAATATTAAACACAAACGAAATATGTAAATAATTTAAAACAAAATAAAATAGCATAAAGCTTAAATCAATTAAATTAGATAAACTGAAATAAAATAGCACAAAATAAATTAAATTAAAATTCATTATCATTATATAGAATTAGAGATAGTAAAAAAATAGGTTAAATAAAATAAAATAAAATAAGAAAAAACGAAAATATAGTTAATTAATTTATGAAAATGATAAAAACAAAATCAAGTGAACAATGAAAAAGACTTAATTTTTATAAAAAAGAAAATAAAAATAATTATATTATTAATATATTTATACTTTTATACAGTTCTGTTTTTTTGCGTAATTTTATTTCTTTTAACAAACAAATATTGATTTACATCAATGATACACTGACTGCTAGAAATCACTGTAGAAGTCACAATATTTACTCGCTCTTCGGTACAGGTGTATGTACTCATACGTTGATGAAGATGTAAACAAATCAATGAAAGAGTAGTAAAATAATTCTTTGAAAGCAAAGCGCATGACAGAGAGCGAATGTGTGTGGAACAAAACAAAAGAGAGCCAAAGAGTGTGGAACGTATGTTTTAGACAACAACATTGCCAGCATCAATATAATTGTAATTTAAAATAAATAAAAAATTACAATAAATTCTACTAATAATAAATATATAAATTGCCAAAAGAAATTTGGAAAATACGCAATAAAAGTAATAAATAATAACTTTAACAAATTTATTTTAATTCAATTTTAATAATTAATAATAATTATTTTCTTTCTTTAATTTTTTTTTAATTTTCTCTCAGCACAAAAAAATATTTGTCCACAGTAAATAATTGTTTGAATAACATATTTCATTTTTTATTTAATAAATTCAAAATGTTTATAATTTTTGCGTATTTAATAAATCTTACAAAGCACACAATATTACAATATACATATGTATGTATTACAATATATAAACCTCAATTCAAATGCTTATTTATTTTCATTTACTTATATTGCTTTCTGCACATTTTCGCAAAATTCTTAGAACGTTCAGTAAGTTTTTGCAAAGATCTTTTCAAATCACTGATAAAAAAATATGAAAATCACTAAGATTATGATGTAAAATCTTCATTTAAATTATGTGTAATTTGTCACGCTTCGAATCCGCGATTTAGCAAAGGAAAGCGCATTATGTCAATCGAAATTATGACAAGCCAACCAACCATAAATGGAAGCATTTGAAGAAGAACACAACGCGAAATGTATAAAAGTATAAAGACAATAGAACACACGTCCCTACATATGTATATACATAAACATATATACATACTCGTATGCTTATATATAAGTAGAAACGTTTAACGAATACAGATGAGGTATAGAATCTACGACGCGGCGTATGAGTAATATGACGTCAGAGACAGAGCTATAATAGCATTGTAATGGGGAATGCGGCGCCATGTGTAAATGGCAAGTGCATGCTAAAGTACACATACATAAACGTATATGTATAATGCGCATAAATAAAAGTAAATAATTCAAGGGAAAAGGAGGTGGGTAGTAAATTTTGAGCCGCTTTTGGCATTCCATCAGATTCCATCAAATACTTAATGCATTAAAAATGTCACATGTAGGCGCCGAGAAAAACATTTTACCCAACATATACACACACATACGAGTATGTATGTAATGAGTATGAGCTCAACAAAAAACTGCGTTAATTAATTACACCTTCAATTTAATATTTTACAAGCGAAAAAATGGATTAATTGCTGTCAAGTTGCATGAGAAGGCGTAATTTCGCTAAAAATATGCGTGTGCAAATGAGTAAAAAGCATAGATACTTTTTTTAAGTACATATGTATATATCTGCATTTTCCCACAAATTTAACGAAATTTTTTACAACCACAGAAATGTGGAATATCTGAAGTAGCGCAAACGCCCACACGGCCCACAGGGAGGCGGCAGGCGGCGGGCGACAGGCAGGCAGGGAATTGCGTCAAAGGCAAAACGCATACAACCGTATTGATAGAGATACATGTACATATGTACTCGAAACTATATGTATGTATGCGTATGTGTGATAAACAAGTAAGTGCCACTTGGCCAAATGCAAAATTTAAAGAGCCGAAAAGCTTCTCAGCCAATTCAATGCAGAAATGTAGCAATCAGTAGAACAAAAAGAAAAAATTCAAAATAAATAAAATATATTAAAAACAAATAAAAAAAATAAATTTATTAGAAAAATTTTCAAAAAAAAAAACAAAATAAATTAATAAAAAAGGTCAAAACACATTTAAGTGATACGATCAGTGAGCGGAATTTTTAAAGCCTTGCAACTTAATAGAAATATTTTTTTATGTCAAATTAAAAAAAATATAAGTAAATAAAATAACAAAAAAAATTAATTTAGATACAACAAATTAAAATAATATCAAGTGCGGAAGAATAAAAAAAGATAAGATAATAAAAAATAATAATAATAATAATCAAAAATTCAAGTTAAAATAAAATAACTAAATTAATTTAAGTTAATTAATAATAAGTAATTAATCAAATAAAAATATTTAAATAAGTTGAAATAAATGAAAAATAATTGAATTAAAATACAAAAATTAATTAAAATTAAAATAAAAAAATATATTTCAATAAAAATCAATTTTAATTAAATTAGTTAAAATCATAATGCAAAAAAAAATATTTAACTTGATTAATTTATTTAAATTAGAAATTGAACAAATTAAAACATTTAATTTTAGTTCAAATAATATTAAAAAATTTAATTGAGTTTAATTAAAATAAAATAATTAAATATAATAAAAATATTTAAATATAAAAACAAATTAATGTAAATACAAAAATTTAATGTAAATAAAATTTAAAAATAAAATATTAAATAAACTTAAATCAAATTAAATTAGTTAGAACTTAAATACGATATGAAAATAAATTAATTTGAACTAAGCTAACTCAAAAATAAAAAGTAAGTGATTTAAATTCATATAAAATAAAAAAAAGTAAATAATACTAAAGTACAATAAAAAAAAACTAATAAATATAAAAATAAGAATTTTAATTTAATTTAAGTTAAATTAAATTAAAATTAAATTAAATTAAAAGAAAATAAATTAGAATTAATTTAAACTAACTAAAAAATTAAACTACAAAATTTAAATATTTATAGCAAATTAAAAACTAAATGAAAAACCAAAAGTCAAACACAAAATTCAATAAAGTAAAAACAAATTAAAATAATTTCACCCAAATGCGCGATTCGCATATTTTTGCAAAATCTTTGGAATGATATTTGCTTTTGTTCTTAGCAATGTAGTTGCTGTGCGAAATTGGTAGACATTGGCTATCTACGCATTTGCAAAAAAAAATTGTATATATTTAAAATTAAAGAGCGTGGATGTGAACGAAGAAATGTTTCTTACTTAAATATATACAATTAAAAAAGAAAATTATTATAATACAAATGAAATAGAATTTTGGCAGAGTACCCTTGAATTGACAGGCAGCCAAAAAAGAAAAAGCCGTTAAGAAAAGCAAAAAAATTACAAGTGGTCATTGTTGATTATATGCACATATATTAGGGTAGTTCAAAAATTTATAAAAGCAAAAAATAGACAATTCCCATCTTTATCTTTTAAATAAATAAATTTTTCGTAGAAAATATATATAAAAAAATTATCGACTTTGGAACCATAAGTGTGGTGATATATTCAAAATTATTTATCAAAATTTATTGAATTTTAATAATTAATTGTTAATGATTACTTTTGTTAATTAATTGTTAACTATTAATTTTATTAATTCAATACAAAAAAAATAACCCTATATAAACACAACTAACGCTCTATTTTAGTGAGTTGTTAGCCGCGCAATTGGTGCATGAAAATGTTTCTTCGTCTAATAACGCGAATCAAAACAATTTAAGACATATATCTTACTCATTAAGAAAGAGAAGAAATATAAAAAACCAAGCAAAGAGTGTTGCACGCGACTCATATTATATATAATATTAATATATATTTTTTTTACTTTCTTTATTTTTTTATATATTTATTTCTATTCATGCAACAAAGGCAAACACGCATCAAAACATTTCAAAAATTGTGTTAGTATCACAACTTAATGCTTGATATATATTTAATAATCACTTCATACAAAGTATACTTACTCGTTGTCCTCCTCCTCTCGCTTTTTGGGCTGGTAGTTTTTTGCTAATCGTCTGTAACAAAAAAGAAGAAAAGAGAAATTAATTAATTGATACATATACATAATTAAATTTATTAAAATAAGCACTCTTTACTGAAAAAAAATATGTAGCTAATCAAAGTGAAATTATTTTCACATAAATTATGCGCTCATATGAGCTATATATGGGCATATACATACTTATGCATATATTTATTATTTTTTATATGCCACCAACATTAATTTATGCAAATTATATATTCAAGTATTACAATATTGTATATACACAAGTCCGTTTGTATATAGTAGTGGCACAAGTCGCATTATAATCGTTGCATGCGCATGCGCGGCGCCAATTGAGCGGTTTGATGAGCATCAATGGCGCTACGTACTGCATATCGTGTGAGTTCAACAACAACAGCTAACACAGCCAATAGTCCGTTAATCATCAGCAAACCAACTAAACATCCATCCTTCAAACCATCCATTCAATCACTCAACCAATTGCTGATGGATTATTTGGGTGAATGCATTAAATAAAAAACTTAGCAACTGAACGAACTAACCAGCAACGAATGAATCTTTGGCGGTGATGAATCGTGTTTGGCATAGTTGTTTTAGTACGGTTAACTAGTTGGCTCGTTAGTTGCATACTTGGCAACGAAACAAAATCACGCTTTAATTGAGCAAATTATATTTTCAATGCGAGTTTCATTAACAAAATGCAAAAGCAAAAAGAAAAACATAAAAATGTGGTAAAAAGAGACTTGAAAAAAAAAGTTTATAAATAAAAAATATTTGCATTGACTATGAAATAGACATAACTTTGTACAAAAATAAACTTATTACTAAAAAAATAAATATAGAAGAAATTATTAAAAGCCCAAGTTCAAAGAGATTTTTATAAATAGAAAGGTAGTGTAAATTTTGTAAATTAAATATAATTAGACTTTATACATAAATTAATTTATTTCTAAGAAAATATTTTTAAAAATAAAAAAGTAGTAGTGTAAATTTTTTAATTAAAAACAATTAAATATGTTTTATTTTAAATATTTAATATATTTTGATTTATTATTGTAATTATTCATTTTGTTTCACTTAGTTAAATTACTTTTTTATTTAATTTTTATATTTTAATATTATTTCAACTCATTTTTCATTTCTTTTAATTAACTTTATTTTTCTTGATTAATTTATTTTTTATTTTAATTTTTTATTTCATTATTTCTGTTTATTTTTATTTTATTTAATTTATTTATTTTAATTTATCTCACTTAGTTTTTTTGATTTTATTTTATTTTACTTTATTTATTTTATTAAATCTTATTTCACTTAATTTTTTATTTTATTTTACTTCTTTATTATAAAATTTTACTTCACTGATTTTTCTTATTGTATTTTACTTAATTTTTATATTTAATTTTATTTAACTTCTTTTTAATCTTATTTTATTTCATTTAATTTTTTTTATATTATTTTATTTTATTTAGTTTTTTATATTTATTATTATAATTTAATTTATTTAGGTTTTTTATATAATTTTTTTTCATTTAATTATTTGATTGTATTTCGTTTTATTTCCTTTTTATTTAATTTTATTTTACTTAATTTTTTTATTTTATTTAATTTAATTGTTTTATCTTATTTTTATTTTTATTTTTATTCTTTATTTTATTTTATTTTTTTATATTAATTTATTTTATTTACTTTTTTTATATTATTTTTTTTTATTTACACAATTTTTTATTTTATTTCATTTTACTTAATATTTTTATTATATTTTAAATTATTTTACTTACTTTTTGTTTTTTTTTTTATTTCATTTAAGTTTTTGATTTTATTTAATTATTTTATTTTAGTTTATTTTATTTAATTTTTTTTTATTAATTTAACTTTACTTAATTTTATATATGAATTTAATTTATTTAAGTTTTTTATATATTTTATCTAATTAACTTTTTGTATTATTTTACTTTACTTAATTTATTATTTTATTTTGTTTATACAATTTTTTAATTTATTTCATTTTATTTTCCTTAATTTTTTAAATATACTTTATTTTTAAACTAATTTAAATAAACCTGAATTCAATATTTAAATTTAGTTTAAATACATACATTAATAGTTAAATTTATTCAATTAATTAAATTAAATTAAATAAAAGGCAATCACTTTCGTTTATTAAGTAGGATTTTTATTTGAAAATAAGCAAACCATACTAAGAACAAATCAAATTATGCGAAGATGGTATACAAAATACAGTGATGCTGGGAAGGCTGCTCATATTTTCAAAGAAAAAAATAGCTCTTTATTAAATGAAAAACCAAAAGCAACAACTCATAATCACCAAACAAAGAAAAAAATGCAACAATTTCGAATTAACGCGCTGTAGCGAGAGCCAAAATGTGATTCAGCTTTTTGACTTGGAGGTTGAGATTGTGGCTGGCATGTGGACTCGAGAGTCACCGCAACTGAGGTTAAACAACCAGTACTCGACTAGATAATCATGGGAAAAGTTAAAGAAAAAAACACGGTGCGCATAAATAAATACATATATTTATGTGACTATTTGGCGTGTGAAAATCAGCTTTGAAAATAGAGAAGCGAAAAAGTTAAAAAAAAGAAACGAATAAAAAATTACAAAAATGTTTGTGAAAAAGCAAAATCAAAACAAAAGCCACCAAAATAATTGTCGCAAGTCAAGGCACAACAGAAGAAGTCAACTCTGCTGCGAACTGAAGCAGCAATTGACTGCTGTGCAAATGCAACAACTATTTTAAATTAGACGCCCGCTGGCACCGGAACAGTAGGCCAATCATTATGTGAATGTTAGATGTGCTCGACAAAGAGAGACCACCAACAAGCCAAAAATCAGCGACTGAGAGCGATCGCAACTGACAGTTGATGACATTAAGATGCTGCTAATGATGAAATTATGAGAAAAATAAAGTAGAAAAAATAGAAAAATAACAAAAAAAATTAAAGGAAAAATAAAAGAGACATGTTTTGGTGGACGTATGCACGACGACATCGTCTCAATGTCTGTTCCTTTTTTGACTAAAATTTTTAAGCGCTAAATTTTTGCTTGAATATTAGCCATTCAGCTTCTAATTCATTGAGTAAAGTTACACAAGAATTGTTGTTATGGAAAGCCAAAATTAAAATTTATTTGAAGATTTGAAAGAACTAATAGCGGATGCTGATATCCGTTATACTGTACTATAATTAATTTTAATCAAATTTCGAGATATGCCAATTTCTTTCATTAGGATTGACTATTGGTGAATTTAGAAAGACGTAAGCGTCTTTTCTGTAAGCTCTGTATAGTTTATACTTACACCAATAAATATGCCAACACGTGGCATCTAATAAACACACAAATGTATCGTTTAACCAAAAGTAAATGAAAAATAATAATAAAGTAAATGAATAACCTTAGCCGAAATTCATTTTTATGCCAGCAACAAGAGCGGTGTTTGTTGACGCTCGTTGTGTGTGCACAATATACTCGTTCTTGGCCTAATTTGCAAATACAATTAAGCGATACCTGATATAGAAGTATAATATGCCACGAATATCCGTACCTTGAAAAGAAGAAGCTACCCGCTCCGCTCACATTGCGCCAGGCTGCAATTTCAATTTATGATTGATATTTCAGGGTAATATATTCTTGAGGGTATGTGTTTTGGGAGAAAAATATTTAATTTGGTAAATTTTCATTTTAACACAAAATGCACTTTTTTCAGACGAAACATTCCAAACCCGTATTGAATTGTCTTCACTCGGCTGCAGACCTTGTTTACCAATCAAGTTTTAGACTGTATTTCATTATATCTCTTCAATTATAGGATTATAAAATTTCAAATGTTATTTTCTTTAATTTTTATCTTTTTAATTATTTTATTTCATTTAAAGAATGTTTTTCATTCTTTTTTTTTAATTTTGTTCACATTGTTTATATTTGTTTTATTTTATTTTATTTTATTTTTTTTTATTTTATTTTATTTTATTTTATTTTATTTTATTTTATTTTATTTTATTTTATTTTATTTTATTTTATTTTATTTTATTTTATTTTAATTTATTTATTTCACTTAATTTAATTTTTTTATACCATTTTATTCAATAATCATTAGGATTTTTATTTTGTTTTATTTTATTTAATTTATTTTTAGGTTTATGTTATTCAATTTTATTTTAAATTGTTTTATTTTATTTTCTTTCTCGTCTTGGTGTTTTCCAAACAAATGGAGAGACCTACAGTTAATACTAAGCCGCCTCCGAACGGCTGATGGTTTTCTTACGAGGAGTCTTTATTTCATGTCCAAAATACACTTGGATAATTTACTTAATTTTAATCATATTTTAGTTTATTTTCGGTTTTTTTGTTTGTTTTTTTTTTATGATTGGCCGAAGTCCAGGCTCTGTAGGTGACCTAAAATTTCAGGCCAACTTTAAATACCCCATAAGCAGTCCCAGACCAAGAGCAACAGGAGAGGAGGGCTCGAATTAAACTGCCCGAAACACCCTATGAATCCTATTTATAAGAGAGAGACAATCAAGCGACGTCGGACGCTACAAAAAAAACCGGAGAGTTGTAGTGTACCACATACCCTTTAATATAAACGGATGCAAAGAACAACACCTGGGTTCGCACCAGTATAAGACCAGTAAGATACTGAGACGAACTCCTGTTTCGCGCCTTGCTGATTTACCATATTCGTAGACTACCGCTGGCTCTGTAACAGGGCGACTGTACAACGTGCGAATACAGAGGTATGAAACGGAGACCCAATAAAAAAATGAATGCACCTATAATTATAATAAAACAAGGAGTACGGAGGGAGGACAGCAGAAAAAAGAAGAGCTCTCGAAATTAAGCAAGCGCCCAGAGAAGTACGGCAACACCTACCGCAGAAGCAGCGGGGTACTGAGATCACCTGTGTTCCAACTAACACCGGTTTTTCAGTTACAACAATTGCAACGACATCCTCGAAACGCCGCGCTACAAGCCCGGCCGAATCGAGGCCA